GTAACATATCGTAAGCAGAAGATTACTTTGTAGATTTTTCCACCTCTATACCTTCTTCTTGGTTATGCTGCATGTCCTCGTATAATCATCTTTATTCATTTGGTATGGCTTATGGTCGTTCAAGAAGCTCACCAACTCTTTTAAGTCTTATGAACTTTTGAAACTCTTTCGCAGGTTCCATGTCATAGTTTATTTCATCTCTTACCTCAAAATTAGTCATAAAAAGAAAACTCAAGAAAGGAACTTATACATGCATATATATAACAACGTTGATTTTAGCAGACAGCAACCGTGTTTGGTAATTCTTGTTTACAAGACGAGCTTCAGCATAACGACCAAGAAATCTTCGTGCCAATTTAAAAAGGTCTACAAAATTCTCTATCAAGACATGTTTAATTTGGGCTTCAAGTAGTCTATGATATCCATGTAAACTATCAGTTGACTGTTTTGATCATCAGGGAGTGGTTCGATCTTTTGTATTTCTGTATTGATTATGACCGATAATACCCTGACAGGGCGGACCACCAGAAACAATGCGGACATATCTCCCTAAAAGAGCACAACCATGAGAAACTGTCCCGGGAACAAGTAAAATTATATTGGGAGGATTACTTATGTAACATGACTTACCGGAAGTGGCAGTAACTCTTGACTTGAAACCATTTGTAACAATTGCTCTTTGCAGTTTCCAATGAAAAGGCAACCAAAGCAGTAATGTGAATAAACCTGTACCTTAGTCTATCATAAGGCTCCCAAGTATCTTCATCTCTGACCCATACATAGCCTTTCCAGTGAATCTACAAAACAATGAAAAATAAAACAAAATCTTATAGTATAGTTATTTTCTTAAGTAAATATAATAAAGGAAATTTTTACATTTACACAACCAAGTAAATTGTACCTTAAAATAAATCTCCCTAAAATAAAGTGTTGATGTTTTGCCTGAAGCCTTTTTCTTTTTTTTTTGCTGGTGCCTTCTTCACAAATGTAAATGGATCCCCATAACAAATGGAGAGTATCTCTTCAACCTTAAACTACTTCTTGTGGAATTACATATCCACTACTCTCCCCTTTTACTTAATTCTGATCACTTGTAACATCATCTTCTGTATCACTATCTATTTCTAGTGGCTCAGTTCTTGGAATAAGTGGAAACTTTTGGCATAGCCTTTTCCCCACTCCTTCAGCAACCTCAAAAAATCCACTGCAGTTTCATTTATCACCTAACAATTAATTGTCCAAATGTTATGATTAGATATATGGATAAAAGAAGCTTAATTCTAACATAATGACCACACTAAAGATTTACATTTGTTTCAGGGTAATTAGATCTCAAACTCTCACAAGCATTAGTTCAAATGCATTGTGTTTGCATGGGTAAGGAAGCTTTTCATGGATTTTGAGTGAACATGTTTTTTAAAATACCATTGTCAATGGGAGAACAAAATATTCAAAATGGATGTAATTTTCAGAAGTTCACAACAAAGATGAACAGTTAGAACTTACTATATCCAATTTTTTTTTCTTACTATTTTAGTTGTTTCTCTAGAATCAAATTTGATATCCAAATACTAATTAACACATAACATGTTCAACAATTGTCTTACTGGTTTTTTTCTTTTTTTCTTTTTTGTCAACGGTTTTTTCTGTATTTAAGGAATTTACGTCAATGACTCCAAATAAATTCTTGCAATAATGAAAATAATCGTTGACTATATCACTGCAAGCAATAAAGTTGTAATTATTTGACTACCATATTTTGTTAAAGATCTACTCTATTAAAAAATTATTGGGTTTGGCAATCAAATCTATACATTTTCACTTTCAAAAAGATAAAATTAATCTTCTAACAAAATATTTACAGGTTCCAGATTTATCAAATTTAATATATAGTATAGTTTTTGGGATATAATTATTATTTCATTTGATCTTACAAGATACGTTTGAATAAAGATTTAACTAAATCCATAATTTTATCAACTTCAGTCAAGATAAAAAAAAAAAATCTTTGAAAAAATTATATTCAATTCTCTTTAATATTTTGGTAAAACTTGTAGTTTTAGTGGGTCAACGAATCTGTAATTCCAATGTATAAAAATCATTTTCATTTATTGCTACCAATTAAATAAAAATTAGTGTAAACTCAATGATTTACTGAGCATTGATGCTTAAGAAATCAAATAAGTGGATCTTTAACCCATACTTGGAATTAAGTAATGAAATGATATGTACATTTATTTAAAGTAGACACATGGTTTCTTCCCAAAGTGGTTAAATTACCATTATTGTGTAATTGCAATGAGAGAATAAATAAATAGACGTTCAAAGTCATCTCTAGTGCATAAGTTTCATGAGTCAAAGGGTTTAAACACTTTTGATTGTAACCAATGAAGTCTCTTAAAAGTATATGGTCTCTCTCATATTTGTTTTTGAGGTTTTTGTCATCACTTGTGATCTCTTGTTATGGTTTAGAATTAGAACCAAGAGGTTTCGATAAAGATGTAGAAACAACAATAGTGGTTGGTAATGATGGTGAGGCTGATTTCAAAACCATCCAAAAAGCCATCGACTCAATTCCTTCTGGTAACAACATGAGTTGGATTAAGATTGAGATTAATCCTGGAATCTACAAGTAAGCTCTCTCATCATTTCCTCTATTAAGTTAGCTTTTCTTTTTTTGATCAGCTTTGGTTCGAGGTTTTTGGTTTTCGGATTTTAGATAAAAAGAAACCTCAAATAAACCAAATTCGTTTTCGCTTTGGATTATTGTTTGGTTTCGAATTTGGTTTAGTTTGGGTAATTTCATCATTCTCCACCAAAAATCGCTTCGGATTTGGTTCGGCTTCAAAATTCGGTTTAATCTCATTTGGTTCGGATTTTGGCCTCCACAATAATCTCCACTTTCTTCATATATTCTATGAGATTCAATAGCATTACAAAACTCATGAAAGAATCAAGAAATGTTTACTTCTTTATTTATTTTATTTGGGATTAACCAAACTTCTAGTGTTTTTTTCTCTAATCATTTCTGATTTCTGAATTTTCGGGTTTTTGAATTTTAGGGAAAAGAGACCCTAAATAAGCCAAATTTTATTTCCGTTTATAATATGGTTTAGTTTTGGGTTTCACCATTCTCGACCAAGAATTCGCGTCATGTTTGGTTTAATTTGGTTAGGTTTGGATTTTTGGCCTCCACATTAATCTCCACTTTCTCCATGTTTTCTATGAGATTCATTAGCATTACAAAACTCATACAAGAATCAAAAAATTGACTTCTTTATATTTTATTATTTGTGGTTTACCAAATTATAATAAGTGTTTATTACATTCATGCAGTGAAAAAATAGTGATTCCGATGGATAAGCAAAAGATAATAATGCAAGGGAACAACGCATCAGAAGTGATAATTCAATATAATGATGCAGGAATATCAAATTCGAGTGGTCCTTTCACACTAAACGCCGAGTACTTCATAGCTATCGATATTACATTCATGGTTAGAGATTTTATATATTAATCACTATTTGCAAATAGATTATTGTTTTAATTTAAAAGTATAAGAAAATTTGTTTTGTTTGTGCAGAATACTTATAACAAGAGGACACCAATTATACAGTATGAACAAATAAAGGTAGCTCCATCAGTTATACTAACCGCGGACAAGGCTTGGTTCTATAGCTGTAGGTTCATCAGTGTCCAAGACACGGTCGCTGATTTCTTCGGCCGTCACTACTTCCAAAACTGTTACATCGAAGGAGCCATCGATTTCATATGGGGAGGAGGCCAATCTGTATTCCAAGTAATCTTTTATACATATTTCTCTCATACAAAGGTTAACTATAAATGTGTATTGATGTAGATTAATAGTGTCGTATCGTGGCCTGATCGTTCATGTTTTAAGCCGAAATCCACCACGGCCGAACGGGCTAACCCGTGCTTTTCTTACAAATTTAAGGTTTAGATTTATATTTGTATATTTTTGTTTTTCGATTACAATGAGTAAGATAAGTTTGTTTCTTGTGGATACAGAACTGCATTATATACGTTAAAAGAGTGGCGAAAATGGGAATGGTGAATAGACAAATGTTAACAGGATACATAACCGCACAAGGGAGGCAAAGCGAGGAAGACACAAGCGGATTTGTATTCGTTAATTGCGAGATCAAAGGAAGTGGTAAGACATTTTTGGGAAGAGCTTACCGAGCCTACTCTAGAGTTATCTTCTATCAAACCATCATGTCAAGTGTTATTGTACATCAAGGATGGGATCCTATGAAATATCAAGGCGAAGAGTACGCAATGCCTTGTCTCTTTTACTTATAATCTATGCATTTGTTACATATTTGATCGACAATATTCTAACGGTAACATAAAAATGAATCAGGGATAACTTTACATTCGCGGAGATAGATTGCACGGGGAAAGGCGCGAATAAGACAGGAAGAGTTAAATGGGAGAAGAATTATACTGCCCAAGATGTTGAATCGCTTATAGAACCCAAAACTTTCATTAATGGAGATGGTTGGATGGCTAGTCTTCCTTCTTCTCTTGTCAATTTATATTTACCAAAATATAAATTGAATCTCTTATAGAACCCAAAACTTTCATTATTGTTTAAGAGATCGATAATTTTTATTTTATTTGTTTATTTAGACTACATTTCTTCCTTATTTTTTTGAATGAATGTAAAACATATTCAACCAAAAGAACCATGTTTATATTTTATGCGTCATCCTATATAGTTTTTGAATGGTAAGGAAATAAGACAAAATGACACAAGTTTTAATCTAAGACACTTGTATGTCTTCCAACTATGTGTGCCGATCTATGAATTTAGCAAGATGATCAGAGGATGTTCGAAATTCTCCATTCATATATTTATTTTTCTATAATGAGAAAAAATAATACTCCTTTTTTATATATATAATAAAGTAGAAAAATTATATAAATCATTTACATTAGTTATATATATTTTTTATTTTCGCGTCATCGGACATCCAATGACTAACTTGAGAGGTACGCGAACTCGGCAGGAAAATTTGGGAAACATAAGCTAACGATTATGATATCAACTCAACAATGATCCTTTTGAAAATTAACATAGTTTAACCAATAAAAAGTAGAAAACTAACCGTTAGGTTCAATAACATTATCGTTACCCAAATGATTAGTTAATCGAACTGGTTTTCAAAGTCAATGAGTTGACTTTTTCTTGTTACCTAACTAGATTTGACCTTTCAATTTCTTCTTACTTCTTAGATTAATACCACCAAACTGAAGTTAGAATATCTATGATTGAAAAGAGATCACGAAAGGCATGCGTCTCCGGGAAATTTGAACTTAAAAGTATTAGATCTTCTTAAACTCATTTCGCATAGAAAACAATATTAGATCATATTAGATAATTTATCTTTATATAAACATGTTCTAGAGCTTGACGGAGTCTAAGAATTGTTCTTGATCAAAAGTTCACTTAGGAAACAAATCACTTTTTCTTCTTTTCAAATTGGAAGTCACAGTGATTCATGGTTGTTTTCGGACAATTATCTAGCATGTCCTACATTTTCAGAAGATCGTCTAGCTAGACTATGAAAGGGTATTCATGTAATTTTGGTTTAAAAAGTCAAATGAGTGGATCCTTAACCATACTTAGAATTAGATAAGGACATGTACAAAACTTGATCAGTATGTTATAACATACTTAATCATAGTTATAAATTTGAAAAAAAAAACAATCATGATGTTATAAATTAGCAAACGTATTTACTTTCTATTTTACAAACTTCTTATTTAAAAAAATCAATTTATGCACAAATTATCTCTTCTATATTGAATTATATTACTTAGCAGTTTACTTGTAGATTTTGTCAATGAATCAATTTATTATTTTTATGAATTACTGCTGCAATGTAAATTGCCAAAAAAAAACAAATTTTTTAACTAGTGGGTATATACTTGCTTCTAGTTAAGAGAAAATAAAAATCAGTGGATCTTTAACCATACTTGGAATCAGATAAGAACATATTACATATAAGTAGTTAAAATACCATTGTATATAATTAATGTCAATATCAAAATATATAATCTTCAAACAATGATCAATATAAATGTCCAAAAATGTATCAACCAATAATAATAAACAAAGTTGAAACTTCTACCTATAGTTTATCTTGATTTTTAAGTTCTGAACCCAATGAAATCTCTTAAAACTATATTGTTTCTCTCATTTTTGTATTTATCGACAGCTTCGTCATTACTTATCTCTTCTTATGGTTTAAATCCGAAAGATTTCTACAAAGATGTAACAAAGATATTGGTGGTTAGTCATAATGGTAAAGGTCATTTCAAAACCATCCAAGCAGCTGTAGACTCTGTTCCTAGTGGTAACACAAATTGGATTAAGATTTATCTTAGACATGGAACTTACAAGTACGTTAGCTCTCTCATCTCTCCACTTCTCTTTGTTTTATGTTTTATGTGGGTTGACTAGTTTATGTATATGTGTGTGTTGATACAGTGAGAAGGTAGTGATTCCAAAGGAGAAAGAAAAGATTATAATGCATGGAAACAATGCAGCAAAAGTTGTAATACAATATAATGACGCAGGAGTATCTAATTCGAGTGGTCCTTTCATAGTAAACGCCCAATACTTTGTAGCTATCAAAATTACATTCAAGGTTAGAGTTCAAGATTTTGTAGTTTTAATATGTCTAGTTCTTTTTTTGATAGATACTAATATGATTCTTAAATCAATTTATATGATAAAATTTTATAAAGATAAGTAAATATAATACTATTAATAATAGTATTTCTTAACATTTGCGCCAAATTTTTTTGAAAAGATATAGAAATATAAATAATTTATCCCTAGATGTATGAAAGTATCAAGTATGTAAGCAAATATTGAAATATATACTTTGTTTTCAGAAAGGAAAATGATGAGTGTTTATGGCATGATTAAAACTTTGATTGAACTTTATAAAATATAAAAATGACACAGAAATGATCTGAAATATTTAGCTATTTGCCTCATTTCAGTAATTATCTGACATAACAATGTGTTGTTCTATGGAGGAAGACATGTGGTCAAATGAAGTAATAACAAGAACAATAAATATTGCGAAACTGACATCGTGGTTGTGCAGAATACGAATACCAAGATGACACCAAAAATACCATATCCAGCGATAAAAGTCGCTCCAGCAGTTATACTAACCGCGGACAAGGCATGGTTCTATGGCTGCAGCTTCATTAGTGTCCAAGACACAGTCGCCGATTCTTCCGGCCGCCATTACTTTAAAAATTGCTACATCGAAGGAGCCATCGATTTCATATGGGGAAGAGGCCAATCTATTTACCAAGTAATGTTGTCATCTCATATATCTCATATATGATTAGGGATTGATAAAAATAAACATGAATTTTGGGCCGTATAAATTTTTAAAAATTAGGGACTAACTTATAAGTTGAGCCGGTTTCATTTCTAAGCCACATAAACAAGACCTACCAAGGCCAAAACATATAAACAAGACCTACCAAGGCCAAAACATATAAACAAGACCTAGCAAGGCCAAAACTTACTGAGTACAATTTAGATATCTAAATGACTTTGTGTGTGGATGTAGAACTGTGTGATATACGTTAAAGGAGTGATACCAAAGGCAAAGGTGAATGAAGAAGGGGTTTTAGATGGATGTATAACCGCGCAAGGCAGGGAAAGCGAAGAAGACACAAGTGGATTTGTGTTTAATAATTGTGTGATTGAAGGAGATGGCAAGGCGTATTTAGGAAGAGCTTGGCGAGCCTACTCTAGAGTTATCTTCTATGGAACTCAAATGTCCAATGTCGTCGTACCTCAAGGATGGGATCCTATGAATCATCAAGGCCAAGAGTACGTAATGTTTTGTTCTCTTTTGTTTCATTTGTTACATATTTGGTAGGTATGTTTTAACAATAATTTCGACTTACCAAGAAGGAAAAAAAAACAAATCAGGGATAAATTTACATATGCTGAGGTAAATTGCACTGGGGAAGGAGCGGATATGAAAGGAAGAGTTGGATGGGAGAAGAAGCTTTCAGCTAAAGATGTTAAATCTCTTATAGATTTCAAAACTTTCATTGATGAAGATGGTTGGATGGCCACTCTTCCTTCTTCTATCGTCTCTTTATATTCACCTTCTTCCATTAATTTTTAGATGATCCATAGTTTGTAATATTTTTTCTTTAATACATATTCATATTCGTATGAAAGATTATATGATTCAAAGTTACTTTGTGTTTTGGTATTTTTTCGTATGCGGAGTTAACAGGAGTAAGGTGTCTTGTGAACACTATGAACAGATCAGGGAATAGAAAACATGATAGGGTATGTTTTCACAAGACACCTGAACTTACTATAGTAATGTAGTGCGTAGAGGTGCATCATCAAAAGATACGTAACCCAATTTTATTGATAAAAACTGTAATCCTCTTTCCTGAATTTTCACTCTCTACAACGTTCAAGCTTTAGCATATGGTTTCAAAAACTAAAGACATGTAATGTAGTGCGTAGAGGTGCATCATGAATGAAGTATGCATCATATGCATATGGTCAATTTCAATATTACCAAACAGCTAAAGACAAAACAAAGCTTTTGTCTATATGTGGTTCTTTTAAACTGCTGGACCTGGATGTATACAAAAGGGACATAATAACATGGGAACTAGATTTGAAGAGCAGAAATATGACAACCAAAGCAAAAGAGACACATCCAGCTCGAGATCAAATTTACAATAGCTATAATCAAGATAACAAGAAGTTTGATGCAAAATGTAAGAATAAGATATCATTGAGAAGACAATCAAAGTACTTTTATAGGCGTTTGTATAGAACATTACAGTGGAGAAGCAAGCAAGGCACAAGAGTGCTGTCCAGTTTCTTGAATTGACATTTATTAAAGAAAAGTAGTGAAAAACAAGAGCTCTTAAATGACATTAGTTGTCGCTTTGTCGGAATATAATGAAAACAAATAACTATTAAGCTTTGTAAATCACCAAATGAATGAACATTTACTGAATATTCTTTGCTACTAGAAAGAAATTACCACATTCTAAAACGGGAGAAACAAAACAGTTTCAAAAGATATAATAGGAACAGACATATTAACCATTTCTTCAGTTTTCTAGTAGCACTTGTCATCTTTGTCTTCCTTGGCTCGGATTTGCAGTCTCCGTTATCCGCAACACCCTCAGCTCTGTTAGATGTCTCGCCTGATACAGATATAGATCTATTGTTGAGGTCTTCTTCATTGATAGATGCTTTTCCGGGTTCATGTGTAACGATGTGGTCATCTTTACTGCCAGATTCTCCATTGTTGTTGGGGTCGATTTCATCAGTCAAGATTTGGATACCACATTCAGTAATGGCCAAATCTTGAAACCTGCAGCTGAACTGAAACATGATCTTTGCGTTCACTTCAGAAGGATCGATAAATGGCAACTCAGCGTGAAATATAAATAGATGTTCCGTTCGAAGTCTGCAGACACTGGATACTCCGTTGGATAGGCCGAACGTCATGTCAGTGGAGTTTACTGAGTTGCCGATTATTGTGCAACGATAGGATACTCTTAAACATCTTTAAGAGTTCGTTAGGTGAAATCACGACGCAAACCTTAAATTTGTTAAAACCAGAATAAGGAATTGTTAAAGAATCTCCTCTGGCTCGGTGATTGAACTCTACAGGTACTTTTCTTCCAGGTAAGAAAGCCCACCCGTCAACAAATGATTGTTGAATAATCTCTTTTCTTGCTTGTTGACCCAATTTGAAGCATTTGGTGAAATTGAGCTCTGCATGTGGAGTGTTTAAGGGGATACTTACTCTCTCTAGTGATTTGCAACCGTGTGCTCTTAGACCTTTGAGCGAACAAGGAAGCGTTGGCAATGACGCAAGTCTTTTGCATTTTGTAAGAATAAGGTATTGTAGATTATCAAGACCTTTAATGCAATCTGTAATCCTCTCAATACCACTATTACTTAGGTCTATACTTCTTACACTGGCGGGGAGATGTGTTGAAAAGGTCTTGAAATATCCATTGCCTCTTATATCAACATCTTCTTTCTCAAATGCTTCGCCTGATTCAGATTTGGATATACCGTCGTCATCTTCTTGATTGTCAAACGCTTCATGTGTATCTTTGTGGTCACCTTTATCACCATTTTTGCTCCCGTCTGTCAAGATCTGGATACCACATTCAATAATGTTAAAATCTTGATCGCTGCTGCTGAACTTCAGAAGGATCTATATATGGCAAGCCAGAGTGAAATAAAAATAGATGTTCCCTTTTAAAATCATTGGATAGGCTGAACTTCATGTCAATGGACTTTACTGAGTCGCCGATGACGATGCAACGATACAACAACTTCGAAAATAGATTATATTTGGCTTGGTTAGGCGAAACCACGACGCAAACCTTAAATCTGGAGAAACCATAATGAGGCATTTTTAAGGAATTTCCTCTGGCTCAGTGATGAAACTCTAGAGGTACTACTCTTCCAGGTAAGATAGCATGCCCGTAAACAAACGACTGTTGAATAATCGCTCGTCATGCTTCTCTATCCAATTTGAAGCAGTTGGTGAAATTGAGATTTGCATTTGGAGTGTTTAAGGGGCCACTTAATCTCTCCAGTGATTCGCAACTGCTTGCTAATAGAAATTTGAGTGAACTAGGGAGCACTGGCAATGAGGTGAGTCTATTGCAGCATGATAGAACAAGCCCTTCTAGATTATGAAGACCTATGATGCAATCATCTGCCATGAGACGTCTCCCGTGTAGTTTTACATTTGTTACACTCTTGGGGAGATGTGTTAAGAAGGTCTTGGGATTTCCATTGCCTTCTATATTAACATGCTTAAGGCGAGAGCAATGCCTCAGTGATGCAGGCAATTCTTCTATCACTTTTTTGGTAACATCGAGGCTATAGATGCTGATTGGGAAATCTGGAAAACATTTTAATCCCGAGCATCCAAGTAGGTTGATACTCTCAAGAGATGTCAAGTTGCTGAGAGTTGGAATGACTTCTAGATTGCTACAGTTTACCATATTAAAGTCAGCTATTTTATGAAGCTTCGAAATTGTGGATGGAAGCTTTACCAAAGCACTGCAAGCACTCAGATCCAATTTCTCCAGGTTTATAGCATTTGAAAGATCTGGGAGTTTTTCCAAACGAGATGACAGCGTGAAAACCATCTCCTTGAGGTTTGCGAGAGTCTGAATATAAAGATCAATACATAGTGAGAAAGACTATTTCTAATATCAATTATAACTTCTCATGTTTCCCAATAATACACTTAAATAACTAACCTGAGTTCCTTCCCATAGTTTCTCGAGCTCGCTATTTTTCATGTTGAGTTTGACGAGATTTTCTGCGCGAAATCTAAGAGGAAGACTCTTTCTTGGGTATGCCTCCCAATAAAGTAACCTCAGGCGAGGTGGAAACTCCATCTCCTCTGGTACGTACAATTGTATATTTCCGGTATTCCTCGCATTGTAAACTTTCAAGAAAGCCAGATTGTGCATTGTTTGAAAAGCCCTTGCGCGTATCATTAATTCACTGTTCTCGGATAAGTCAACTGATATACCTACAATTGATCCATTAACCTAACAAATACTCCAAAGCAGAACTTTGTTAGTTGCCAGTTGATCTACTTAAACAACAACGAATAATCATGGTAATGCAAAACCCATCCAAAAGAAAACTTACTGTTGCGTTTTCTGGAACATTGCAAATTTCCAGGGCATCTACTAGAATCTGGCGTGTCCAAGGCGCTTGTCTGGAAATGACTTGTTTCGCCATTACTTGTAGCAAAAAGTGCATTACCACTTTACTTTCACGGTCTATATGTATGAGATGTCTGTTGGCTAGGATTTTTAATCCAAGTCTAACTCCCAAGTTACTTTTTGCAAGCATGGATGTCACATGATCAACATGTTCATGATTGAAGAAGATTGCAACGTAGAGAAATATAGATTGGTCTTTCTCATGTAAACTCTCATAGCCCACTTTCAATACACTCTCAATTCTTCCATCAAGAGAGTTTCTCCACCTTGATAGTTCATCTATCCAGTCAACCTCGGTCTTTCCTCGCAATGTTGACCCCAAAACATGCAGACCCAAGGGAAGATTACCACAAATTCTCACAACTTCATACGCAAGATCCTTAAACCTTTCAGGTGGATAGGTTTGTCTAAAAGCAGAAAGACAAAAGATCATTAGAGCTTCTCCTCCTGATGGAAACCCCACTTGGTATATAATATTAATACCATGCTGCTTCAAAATCTCTTTGTTTTCAGTGGTCACTATGACCCTACTTCCTGGGCCAAACCACATGATATTAGCCAAAGCCTCAAGTTGATCTAGACTCTCCACATCATCAAGAATGATGAGAACCTTCAGGTCATTGAGCCTTTCTTGTATTACACTTAAATGGCATATCCTCATACCATTTTGGTTCAAAAGCTTTGAAAGAAGTTGCTCTTGTAACCGTAACGTCAAACCATACTCGCGAGGACCACTTTTGTAAACTTCCCTAAGGTTGTCAACGAAACAAGTATGTTGAAACTTACTAGAGATACGACTTTGTAAAGCTCTGGCAATTGTACTCTTACCAATACCTGCAGGACCAGAGATTCCAACCATCTTAACTCCATCATTATTTAAATCAAGCAAAGATTCCATTTTTCTCAAATGGCCTTCTAGTCCGACCATGCCATCAAAATCGCTAGAGGGTGTGTCGTTCAGCTTATCTGAAACATCACTTGCAATATTATCGATCATTTCTGCTTCATTGTCCCTGATAAAAGAGAAAGAAAAAATCAACGTTCCCAATCAAATAGCCATAAGATAAGAACACCGTAAAAATAACATTTCTCTGTTCCTAATATGTATAGCTTATGACATCTATATCTAATATCCACTCAACAAGAAATTATAAAACTCATTCAACAAGTCCATTCTCTCAATCACTTCAAATCTTTTCTATTCACCAAAAAAAGAAAACTGTAACTAATCAAACACAAACCATTTTAGGGAGTGTACTCCTGCTATGTTGCCTACATAAGTCAAAGCTTGGCTCCATTTTCTCCTATGCTCCTCTGTTTTACGAGCACAAGTTTCATTGAAAGCAATCCCAAAATCTCCTGTTTGTGCCCGCACATCACGAGGATCTACTCCATAGAAGACAGTCATCACTGTTTGCCCCATAGTTTCCTTGCATTCCAAAATATCCAACAGCTCATCCAAACACCAACTGGAAGAAGCAAAGTTTTTCGAAAGCAATACGATCGCGATCCTTGATTCTCTAATGGCTTGTCTGAGAGCTTGGGCGATGATTTGGCTTCTCTCCATCCCTTGATCATCGAACATCGTAATTCCATTGTAGGTGAACTTTTTACGTAAATGGGCGAGAAATGTCTTACGGACATCTGGTCCGTGGAAGCTTGTGAAGACATGGTATCTCCAGTTGCGAGGTGGACAAGAAGAAGAAGAAGAAGAAGAAGAAGAAGAAGATAAAACCATGATTGAGAGGATCTTGAATCGTTCAAAATGACAGAGAGTTCTCAAAGACGTGTTTGGATAAGCGATTTATGGATAAGAAAATGGCATAGCAGAGTTCACTTGCTGAGCTACAGAGAGAGATTTGGGAAGTTTTTTTGCTCTTTCTTTCATTGGTAACAGAGTAAAACAAGAAAAGTCAAGATTATCATTGTGGTGAGACCTAAGAAGTAGTTTCGAAGAAATAAGGACCTTTTTGGCTCTTGGCATTGACAACAACAACCGTGGACCATGTCGGCAGCTGAGGATAATGTCTTCACTGTTGCTAACTTGTTACTTGGTTAGGTCCGGTTAACTGGATTCAAGAAACGAAAGTTAGAAATAAAACTGTTCTCCAGGACATAAACAGTATATATTCATCTATGTTTTATAGACATTCAATTCTTATTTAACAACCAACATTTGATTCTTACTTCTATAGTGCTTTCTTATTAGTATTTACAACAAACGGTTTATTCGAGTATGATCATAACAATATATCCATCATTTAGCCTTTGATTGCTTTGTAGCATCGGAGGCTGCACAATGGTAGATTTGACACTGAATCTCTGTATTTGTATGGGTTGGTACATTCTGGACCAGCACATTTCTCCCGCGGTGGAGGATAACTGATTCATTTCGCAAGGTGAACCATGTTAAATTTTCAGTAAAACCTGATTCCGCGTGATGAGTCTTGTGCATCGAATAAATAGCTGTATTTTAAATGATACCTGTGAGGTGTAGAGTTGAATATAGCTGGCAATCCAAGTTCTTCGGGGAAGGTTACGATGGTTCCTGAAGGACCCATCACCCACTTCACTGTGTCTGATCTACGGGCAATCGAGTCTGCAGCTTTCTCCTGCACATAACAGATTTCAAACAATCATTAAGATTAGTAAAAAACATCTCATATGAGATGCTCATAGTTTCATTCAACAGCATAAGATAATGGGTTATACATTCATGAAACCAGCTGAGAATGGACAATATGAATGACCTTAGGAAAGTACAATTTCAGTTTATACCTTGGCTTTCTCTTCTTGGCGTTTCTTTATCTTATCTTCTTTCTTCTTTCTGCTAGAGTCTTGGCCCAGAATCTTCCTGATTGCCTCAGCCTACCGACGCACAAATGTTTTATCTACGGTTGATTTAACCATTTAACTGAAAGAAAAAGTAAAAGAGGACCAAACCTCTGACTCTCTTGCTGCCTTTTCAACTTGCAATTTACGTCTCCGAGCAGCCTCAGCTTTCTTTATTTGTTGATCCACCTCTAATCCATTTTCTTTTCGCTCTGTAAACAAACAAAACAAGCAAAAAGCTTTAAGTCCAAGAACAATTTGATAAGAACTTTGACTGGAACATAGATTGGGCAACAGTATAGGTCTCTGAACTAATGTGACAACCAGAGTAGGCAGACCCTGCGATTGAGTCAACAATCTAATGCATGAGCCACATTGCAAGTACCACATTAAAAACTCCTAAGGAAGAGCAGGTAAGATGTTCATCAAGCTTACTTCTAGGTGGAGCCGGAGGTAAGCCACGAGGAAACTCAATGAGGTTTCCGCTATGTCCAGAACGTCGACGTGTAGTCACAGTCATTTCTGTCTTAACTTCACTCTGACCTTCTTCAGCTGCTCTTCTTCTAGTTCTCGAGCTCTTATTTTCTGGCTCAACATCTGAAACAGCCTCTTCTTCTTCCTCATCATCATCGTCCTTAACATAATCAGCGTCGTCAAATGCTTTTCCCGTTTTATCCTTCTTACCTGACTTCTCCGATGTTCCTACACCACGTGGGAGTTCTACATTTTGTTTCATTACCTTGGAAAGCTTTTTATGTTTTCTGCTCCTTTCTTCATCGTCATCAACATCTTCTTCCACAGCCACAACTTTAGCCATTTTCATCCTTTTGAGAAACTGAATTTCTTCGTCATCATCATCAAGACTATCGAGTTCCTCATCCAAAACACGTCTCTTAGAAATGCGGCTGCTTTTACGAGTCGGATTCGTGATTGTTTTGCTATCTCGGGTACCATTACATGAATCTGATTTGCTTGCGGTGTCCAGCGGTGCCCCTCTTAGTTTAGTGGATCGTTCGTTTGAAATGACCTGTTAGGAAAGAAGCAAACAACAACAAATTACAACTGTAGGAGAAGAATTTCATCAGAAAGACTGAAAACTCACGCAGTTACTAGCACATACTCCAGTGAGAAAATATATTTAAGCATTTGAGAAAGGATTTAGTACCTGGTTAGTCTGACTAATTGCCAAGGCATCATCTGATACATGAGAAGACTTTGTCGAACACAACCCAATATCAGAACCGCCATCAGAAGCAGATACTACATTTATAGTTTTTGACGAACCACCGAGTTTGAGCTTAACCTTCTTGATGGTATTCTCATCAAAACCAGCTCGGCGTTCTGTTTTGTCAATTGAGTCTTTCCTTTTACAAGGGACAAGAAATCCTTCAGTGGATGCAGTACTGTAAGCTCCGCCTTGCCTCACTTGGTTACTTCCTTGAAATGAACCATTCGTTGAACCTTCATCTGACTCCACTGCTTCTATCTCTTCTAGCCTATTCTCATTCTACCAACACAAAGCCAAAATCTACACATCAGTTAACACAATTAACAAACCTATTACTAGTAGAAACATAAAAATCCATCGTACGAAAGGACCAGAAAGTTCATAACGATCCAAAGTATTAAAGTGACTATTCTACATAACTACTAAAGAGGTTTGAAGATACTTAGCAAGAAAACTATTCTTAACTTAACCAAAAGAAGTATCTTGCAGCAGAGATGGATCGTAACTGCAAAAGTTATTATCTTGGTGGTTTCTTACATTGTCAGGAACTGGTGTAGATGGCAAAGACGAAGCATCCTGTAACTGTCGTTCATTCCAAGGCCGACGCAACGTGGTGCTCCGCTTCTTCTTTGTTGCACTGCTCGTATTACTAAACCCTATACCTCCAAGACTTTCCATAACTAGTTTTTGCTTGACTCAAAACTCAAAGCTCCACATACTTGAATCCCCTAAAGATAATATTACTCAGCAGCATCAGATGATGAAATCAAACTTATCCACAACAACAAAAAGAGCTTAGCTTTAGATATACAGATAACTTCAGATTCCCATTTGTTATCTATTTAAGTTCACAAGCAAGCTTGTAGAGGAAACACAACAATCAACAAGAATCAAAGCAAAAGGAAGAGACTTTTCGAATCAAATTCACAATTCGTTTCAAGGGTCATGGTTTAGAGTCTCGAATTGGTCAATTCAGTGAAATTTTTACTCATTTCTTCAATCCGATCAAAACAACTGAATAACAAAGACAAAAGCAGAGTACTTGAAACAAAGAGGTCGATTAAACTAATTATACCTGATTTAGATTCAAAGGATCGAACTTTGAGCCAAGGTAAGCTGTAATTAGGGTTTATGGTGTATGTGAAACAAAGAGTTGACGAAGAAGATGAAGTTGTGAAACTTCACCGTCTTCACTCTTCTGTGAAGAAGCCAGAGAAGCAAAAGGCGTAGGTTAGTAGGCTAATCTACGCGTACTTTGGTTAACGTTAGTGTTTATAGACTGGGTTTATCACTAAACAGTTGTATATATATCTATTGGGCCTTGTGTTTCGCTTCTTCTGTTATAACTCGGCCCATTAAAACAATGCACACAGCACACTCTTCTCTTCACATCTCAAGTGTCTCTAAAGGCCCCAAAAGGATAGTATTTTTGTTTCCAACAAAAAATATTCAGATTGAATAACTTCAGAGGCAGTGGAAATTTGGACCAAAATTGTTATTACAAAAAAAACATAACAACCATATGAGCAAAATATTGCGATTTGGTCATTACAATATAAGTTATTTAACGTTAATTCAATTGGATTAAAAGTATTTTTTATTGTACTATAATGTGTTATTCACAAATAAAAAGGTGAATTTTTTTTTTAACACTACAAATTATATAGATGAAAAAGTTATATTTTTATGGTTTAAAAAAAACTTTTATAATTATTTAAGAGAACCTGTTTTCTTATCAAGACTTAGGCTCCAATTGGTGACCACTTTTTAGGAATAGAATGAAGAGGAATGTGGTGTTCCTCATTGTTCCTCAATTTTTGCTACCATTTACGCATAATGTTTTTTCAATTTTCAGATATGTGGGATCTATATTATTCCTATTCATTCCTCAAATAAAAAGGAACAACAGTTCAAAAATGTTCTTACTCAAAATTGTAGAGGAACAATGAGGAAAAAATATTATTTTCGTTTTTTTTTTTATAATTCAATATTTTAAAAATATTTATATTGATAATTTTGGCATTTCTATATATAAATACTTTAAAAAATTATTATATATTTTAAATAAAATATTATTTCATCATAATTTTCACTTTCTATTAATGTTTTGAATCTATATATTATATTAGAGAAATATTTAAAGAAATTTAAAATAGGTTTTAACTTAAAACATTTATTAATGTTTTAAAATATAAAAAAAAAATTAAATTTAATATATTAAGTATTATAATTTAAATGAAAGTTCTAAACTAAATTTCTTTTTAAACTTAAATTTATTAAATAATTTTTTGTATAAATTATTTATATTATTTAAGTTTACTTGTTCAGTTTTTGGTTACCATTTACTGGAACATTTGTTCTATTTTCCTCAGCATTTATTCCTATTTTTTATGAGAATTCTTTTCCTGTTTGTTCTTTTTTATTTTTGTTCCTTTTCGTTCTTTTTATTCCTAAATGGGTTACCAATCGGAGCCTTATATTGAGTATCATTATGAAGAAAAGGGAAAAAAAACATATATTGAGTAACAAAACCAATTGATATAATATCAAAACATGGTTTTATTCAATTATTAAATCTGAAATTGTTCATGAAAATTTTGGACAAAAAACAAAAAAAAAAACAAATGACAAATAGATAAAAATATGAGCCATCATAATGATCATGATGATCATCATTCACCATTTTAGTATACTACTACTCCTTCTTATCATTTGAGAACAGGGATTGAGATAAGGATACCTCCTGATCCATCTTTACAAATTCAGCCATAAGTATTGTGGTTTCCCACAACTTAAATTGATCATCAATTTTCTCCAGCTCTTTGGTATCAATAGGCATATTATTTTCTTCAATGTATTTTATCAGCTGCTCGTTTAACTCCTAAATTCACACAAAAAAAAAATTATAAATAATTTTCACACAAAAAATATCCATAAAATTTAATTCAAAAAATATATATATACCATACCACCACAAACCAGTTTTTTTCTTTCAAAGTTACTATAAATTTTCTAGACATAATTTTGGTTATGATTTGAGGCTGTTAAACAATTTTGTGTGGTAATTTTTCGGAAAACAAAACAAAATAATATCGTTTGTCAAAATATAAAATAACCATTATCACCTGGTTACGCTTTTTTCTTGTTCTGAAGATAGTATCATATTATCGAGTTCGGCTTCAAGCTCGAAAATCTTGATTAGCTTTGCCATGTTACGCTCTTCTTCTATATCCAGTAGTGATTCCATATTTGGATCAAGACTGGCTTCAACTTCGAGAATCTTATTTGTCTTTTCCCCCACACACTCTTCATCTCCCTCCGGTGTTGGTTCCGTGTTTAGATCGAAATCGACTTCAGGATGCAACACCCTTTTTCTACAATCCATTTTGTGATTATTGTTTGTTTGTATTGTTACAAGAGTCCAATTGGTTTTTATAAAGTAGGTAGTGTAATTTTTTTGCTTTATAATTTTTTTCCTTTCTAATAAATTTAAAAACTTTAAATAAATTAATAATTCATCCAAAAAGTCACAAATAATAATGTTATTATGCTAAATGTTTAACTAAATTCTTTTATTTTAATCCTTTTTGCCATGTATATTATATGAGCTATATAAATCATTATTTTGTTAGTTTAACTTTTATCTCTACAAAAATTTACTAGATCAATATCTTAAAACAAATACACAAAATAAATATTAAAGATATCTTTTTTAAAAGTAACTACATACATTAGCTTGATATTTTTAGTCATAGTCTTACAAATTTGACCACGATGAAGAAGGATTATATTGCATATCATAGTTTTTATTCCATGGATTGACCGGTATTTTTAATGGATGGAGGATAGAATTGCAAAATATATTTGATGACTTTGTTTTTATATATAGCCATAAAATAATTTTAGAAACACTATTTCTTATAAGTACTTGGATATGATAATTATTTAGATAAACATTATCATAAGGATCACTTTCCTTTTTACACCCATAAGACATACTTAAAATGACAATAAAGAAAAGATATACAACTTTTTTTTGACCCAAAAAAAGCTGATATTCAACTTACTCTTATGGTTAGTCTTAACTACGCAATTTGACTAGAAGAGAATAATGATGTACTAAATTATTTTATTAGTAAGAAATAAAATAATGATTTCCTTGTTTTTAATCTCCTACAAGTTAACAAATTATTTAAAATTTTCTACTAAAAAATACCAGATGTACGTAGCCATGAGAAAAAAACCCGCATCCGCAAATATCTGTATCCGTATCCGATTTTTTATTTGAAGAAACAGATATCCGGAAAAATGGATACGGATACGGATAATAAATTATGGATATTTCGGATACGGCTACGGATAATGCGGTTTTTAAAAATGGATAAAGGAATATCCGTTTTTGTTTTTTTTTTTGGAAAAACCCGGATATCTGGTATTTAGATACGGATATCCGGTATTTATATGCGGATATCCGGTATTTAGATATGTATATCCGGTATTTTAGTCTAAAATACATGGTATTTTGATTTTATTTTTTTTACATATTTTCAGATATCTGTGAATATTCGTTTTTTCACAAATCTCCGAACAATGGATATCCAGATTTTCGGATACAGATTCTAATATCACGGATAATACGATACAGATTCTAATATCATAGATAATACTGATGCGGATGCGAATACGGATTTTTTTTAAAAAAGCGGATATTCGCTCCGTTAACAGAGCTAGATGTTCGTACCAAAATACCAGATATTTGGTCTAAGACTCAACTATCCAAAAGATATTGAGAACATTATATAAATCCTCATTGATTTGAACTCTGGAATGTCATGAAGAAACCACCATGGTTAATAGTAAATCAACTACAGTACAAGCGTTAAACAACACAACATAAATTTTAAAAAGTTTCCTTGAAAGATCTCCAGACAATGTGGTTGCTTCGTTCGCTTCTTACCAGGATCCTTCAGCACCAGCGGTTGGGTTGTGGAACGATGAGAATTCCCAGAATGTCTTCAATGAGTATGGCTGAGAAACCGTCACGCCTTCTTCTGTGATCTTTGCTATCTGCACAATTTTCATGTTATACCGTTACTACACATTCGATATGAAGAACTTGAACCAAACTAAATGAAGACCATTCTTGTTCATGAGACATGATAACGGGGTGAGAAAACTTGTTATTAGAGACAAACCTGAAGCTTGTTAATAGCAGATCTGTCGCGGTAAAGAAGCACACGCATACATTTCTCAAGGAGCTTGACACCATCTTCAAAGCTCATGTCTGCATGCCACTCATCACGAAGAATTGGCCTAGCGAGATGGTTTCCAAATCCAGTGGCAACATGATCGTCCTCAAAACTAACACCAATCATTGACACCTAGCGAGAATCAGATATATTCAAATCATAAGTTTTCACAATAAGTTTATATATGCAAATGAAAAGTCTGAGGCATACCATTCCAAGGTAACTTTTCCCATTTTTCACGCCTCCAAGGACAAGAGTGTTCCACAGAGGGTTGAACTTGTTGCGACGGTTATACATCACACGGGTCAGATAGTTGTGAATCTCTTTTGGTCCCAAGGAATTACCATCATCCCACATGTTATCATTCAGGCTGTGTAAAAAGGAGGGCTCATGAGTAATAACAATAGGGAACAAATTTTTTAAAAAAGACATTGAAACAAAAGGATTCTTACGTGAGCTCATCAAGATAACGGAGAATCTCCTGGAAGTCGCTGATTTCTCCACTGGCACCAAGAAGAGAATGCTTACCAATAGCCTGCATTCTCTCAATGTTCTTGTATCTTAAGGTGGATCCATATGAACCTACAGATTCACAAAAGTTTGAAGGTGAGCTGAAGCTACAGTATTATCATTTACCCTTTGATGAAAAAATCTCCAGGAAACCAAGTTCACACATTAGAACTTAAGTAGTAATCCAAACTATTAAAGAGATCAGGAAAACACATAGATATACTATCAGCATCACTAACCATACAGACATCTGATAGTTATTTTACATAGAGTTGGTTGGTGTAAAAATATGAGCAATCAAACTATTTCACTGGATATAGCTAGGCAGTAAGTTGATTGTTATAATGTTAATTCTCAGTTGCCTTTTCTTGATCTAGTTAACAATGGAAATCACAGTGGAAACCAAAACATAATCCAAAAGAAAAGTAGAAGCAGTCAAAACTTATCAAGTTGTGCTTTCGAACTTGTGCACTCAAATCAATTAAATAATCCTTAATTCATACTCCACCCATAATCTTAAGATAACAGAGAGAAGAACAGGAGCAACAGATGGACAGTAACATTATAAATTGGTAGTCAAACAAAAAAATGAGAATAGTGAACTGACACGAGAAAGCAGACTCGTAAACAGCAAGAAAGCAGACTCGTAAACAGCAAGAAAGCAATTGCATGTCTACATCTAGAGGCACAAATACATACTCTTATCAGAACAAAACCATTTCTGCGTAATAGTGTTTGACCCTAATTCCCTTATCTTAGACCCACTAACAAATGATGCAAACAACCAAGTTGACCAGTAACGTTGAACCTCAGTTTCATCATCATGTCTGAATATATCAATCAGATTGATAAATTAAAGTAACAGCTGAAGAACTGCAACAAAAGATACTAACCATACTACAAAAGCGGCGTAAAAGACAACTAAATAACTAATATTAAAAGGAACCATGCACATGAAGCTATCACTCCAAACAACCTGATTGCTTAACCAATCATGAATGTATACAAAAGACCATACATGGGACTACATACTATGAAAAACAAAATTAATATCAAATATAAAAGCTTCTGAACATCATTCAGAGTTCATACTGATCACTACAAATCTGAAACACATGATACATTTCACTACCTTGCTATGATCTCTCACCAAAAAGAAACAGACTTAACTAAACAAGCATCAATCGAAGCAAAGCAAACACTTCAAGCAATCAAGCTCATATCAGATGTAAATATAAACATCCTACAAATCAATAACTTCACCAAATACGCAAGGAAGCGTAAGTGCTCATACAGTGAAATGCAACAACGAAAGAGCTGAAACTTCGAAAACAATAACATACCTCCCATGTCAGAAGCCATCAAAACTCCATCTTTGTACTTGATTGCAACAATTGAAGTTCCAGTAACATATGGGTACCTAATCAAAATTTTACATAAACCCTAAAAATCCAAAATCGAATCCTCAGAATCGAAAACCCTACATAATCATACAAAAAAGAGAAATCATTACAGCGTTCTTTGTGATTCTGCTTCTGCGATCTTCACAGCATCTCCGTTATCAATCGGAATAGTAAACTACAACAAAATCAAAATCAGGAAAATCAAATCAACCCCAGAAGAATCAGAAGCATACATAGCAAACAAGAACATTAAAGTTTATAAATTGATCTGAAAACTTACAGTCATCTTCTCGAAAATTTCGTAGTAAGCTTCTGAGCTCTTTAGGTTTTTCTTCTTCTTCAAGATCTGATGTTTTCGTTTTTGGTTACCTCACTAAAAAGACTTCTCCGATTTCCTTTTGCTCAAGAAACAAATTTAACCGGGTCTAACCACTAACTTCAATTTATCGGTTTAATCCGGTTATTAAACTTGACTCAATCAGTCAATCTCACACAAATATGAAATACCTATCTTTAAGCGGTTAATAACCGCCGGTTATATTGTTACAGACCCGACCCGTACTCACCAAAGTATCAATTTTATCGGTTACCCCCGGTTATAGTCCTTACCCGAACCCTCTCAAATTTCATCGGTTTATAGATCTAACCCGACCCGACCCGACCCAATTTAATGCGGTTTTTGAGTGACCCGACCCGATTCACTCAAATATTACTAAGGCCCAAGTCCAATAAGATTCAAAATTAAACTCTCTTCAGTCTTCTTCTTCTTCTTCTTCTTCTTCTAGAATCGTCTTTTGCTCATTTTCGTCGGACTGTTACTCGTCGGAGAATCTCTCAGTATGGCTAGGTCACCGAACAAACACGGCCGCGATCAAACTCAGGTATAACCATTTTAACTCATTCGTCTTCGTTACATGAATCGCCTTTAGCTAAATTTCTCTGTTTACTCGAGGATTGAGAAAGGAACGAAAAAAGAAATCGAAACGATTCGTGCTTCGTATCTCCGCTTCGTTATCTAGGTTTCATGGAGATTTATCAGTAGAACGAACTGTAGTAAACTTGATTATGAACGAAGTAGATGTTTACTTGCATCGTTTGGGTTCGATTTTCTCTTTTCCCAGGATTTCCAGGGATTTTTGAATGACTTGCAGGATTGGGAGCTTTCATTGAAGGATAAAGACAAGAAGATTAAGCAGAAACCTTCTAATTCGTCGAATCTGGTTTGTTCTTTTGTATGTGTATAACCTTGGAAAATTTTAGATGTTACTTTTACTTGTAAGTTTGATTACATCCTTGTTTTGAACTTTCAGAATAGTGAGAAATTCAAACCAAGTGGTTCAGGGCAGTATGACTTTGTTAAGAATTATAGCTCCATTAGTGATTTGTCGAGTAGTTTGATCGGAGAAAGTCTACTGGATTCTAGTTCAGAGAAGGAGCAGGTACTTACCTCCCTTCAAGATATGTTTTAATGATGTGCGATTGTCTCGATGGTATTGTGAAAATGGATGTTACTCTTAATACAGGGGAATGAGTTTTTCAAGCAGAAGAAGTTTAATGAGGCGATTGATTGTTACTCTCGGAGCCTTGCTTTATCGGCAAATGCTGTGGCTTATGCAAATCGCGCAATGGCTTACCTGAAAATCAAAAGGTCAGCTCATTGTCTTTTTTATTGGTTTCATGAGTGTGTGACGCTCGTTTGTCTTCTCTTCCATCACCCGATAATCTCTAAGCTATTTTTCGGATTTTTTATAATGTTTCTTACATTAGATATCGAGAGGCTGAGGTAGACTGCACAGAAGCTTTAAATCTGGATGATCGATATATAAAAGCATACTCACGCCGAGCAACAGCCAGAAAAGAACTTGGGATGATTAAAGAAGCCAAAGAAGGTATCCCCCACACCATATATGTTCATTCATTCCGTTCTCTTAAAATACATACAAACTCTTTATTACATCTTGCTCCGTATGTGAGGTGACTAAAATTAATCGCAGATGCTGAGTTTGCTTTAAGATTGGAGCCTGCGAGCGAGGAGCTTAAGAAGCAATATGCCAACATCAAATCTTTGCTAGAGAAAGTAATATTTCATATGTTGTTTTCTGTATTTTCGCCAAAACTTTTATATCCTTAACAGAAGGTTAACTTTTTGAATTCGGAGCAGGAAATCGTTGAGAAAGCCACTGGAGCAATGCAAAGCACTGCGCAAGAGTTACTCAAAACAGCGGGTTTAGATAAGAAAACAAAATTGCCAAAAACACAAGTGAATCTGAAGCCAGTAACCCTAGGGGTCAAAACAAACAGTGATAAGGCTCGTCCTGATTCAGTTAGGAAGGAAAGTTTGGGGAAGAAGCTTATAGAAAACGTACAACCTGAGGTATATCCCATAGTTGTTTTTGTTTGATAATCTGAAGTTGAAATATGCACATCTAAGAGGTCTGTGAATTCGTGCACTACTAAAGTTTTTCGGATATGATAATATATCACATGGAGATTTTATCTTTATATAACATGATTGTCTCACGGAACTTGTCATGCAAACTTTTAACTTTTTGGCAGCCTCAGGAGAAATGCAAAGAAGGTTCCAAGAAAACATCTGCTATCACGGAGAATCCAGACAGCAATCAAGTGATGCCTAGAAGCCAATGTTATGGAAAGGAGGAGAAGTCTTCTAACAGAAACGGTGCTCAATCTTCTGGACAGGTGAGTTTTGGTGATCTAAGTGGGGTTCATATGTCGTACAACAAAATCCACTCTGATACTAGAAAGCTTCCCCATTCTAATTTTACAGGGGAACCCTGTTTCTAAAAAGCTGGAACTAAAGCCATCTGTGCAAGAGCTTGCTGCCCATGCAGCTTCACTTGCAATGGTCGAAGTTTCTAAAAACATTAAAGCCCCAAAATCTGCTTACGAATTTGAGAACTCTTGGCGAAGTTTTTCTGGTGACCGTGCGTTACAAACCCAACTGTTGAAGGTTTGAAATTCCACTTGCTAAAACTAATTTATTAAATCCTCAAATAACATTGCCACTCATCAGGTTTGTATATGTATTAGGTCATGTCACCGAACTCTTTACCTCAGATCTTCAAGAACGCCTTGACTTCTCCAGTGCTGGTTGACATAATAAAATGCGTAGCTGTTTTTTTCACGTAAGTAAACAGAACATTTGTATTTTGGGCTCACCAGAAACTCTGTTAAAAAATCGGTCATTAATCCATATAGCTTTTTGCATGTTGCAGTGAAGACATGGATTTGGCTGTTAAATACATTGAGAACCTAACAAAGGTACCTAGATTCAACATGCTCGTCATGTGCCTTACCTCAACAGAGAAAAACGGTACTCCCTTTATCTGCTTCATGTCATGTCAACAATCTTTAATATCATCAGAATGATAATAGTTGTGCTATCTGATTTCTTTTGGAGCAGAGCTTATGAAGATATGGGATGATGTTTTCTGCGATAAAGCTACCCCGATGGAGTATGCAGAGGTCTTAGACAAACTGAAGTCAAGATACTGCCTCAAACAGTAACCTAGAAGATGGGTCTTTTTAACAGCAGCGTATATGGTAAAGATTTTGCAGACCCAGTAAGCATTTTTTGATCATGAAGTATGTTTTTTTTGTTTGCGGTCCAGAATCATACTGGTTCTGCTTCTGTTCATATATCTACCGGTAAATCGTAGAATGTAAAAACCGCGATCTGTTGCGCTCGGGTTTTCATTTTGGTGTACCTGAAAACTGCAACTAATATAAACTCTTTAAAAAAGCTATGGTTAGTTTTGTTGCATGTAAGAGAGTTACTTTTTTATAGGTTTTAAGATTCAGAATCCAAATTTTGCTTCTGCGACAATTGGAAGGAACTTAGAATAGAAACAATGCTCTCTTCTATTTTCCATAGACGACATGAGAAGAACACAAGAATCATGTTCTTGAAGAATTAGATCTTTCTACTTTAGGATATAATCATACAAAAGTCTGCTCTTTGAATAGAACCAGAAGCAAGAATTTTTTTCGACCAATCGTATCGTTATCGTAATGGGACATTTGATTATATCTTTGTTTTATTTCCGACAAGAATAATCGGTTCTGTCGTAACAGAATCTGATTGACCACCCTTTGCAAATTGCAATAGACATTCGCAGAATCGCACAACCAAAAAGAAGAAGTAGTCATTGTCATATCTCAAATCAGATGCTACGAAACAGAACAAAGAAGGAAGATAAAGACAAGAACAAGACTGTAGCAATCAATCAAATTCATTGTATTATAACCTGTTCTAACCCAAAATAACTTTATACAAGCCATTCTTTGCCTCAAAGCAATGGTTTTTCTAAGTAAGTTGTTCTTCATTAGCGCCTGCGAACTCCTCGATAATGTTCTTCTTCTTGTTCATAATCACGTGGATCTTGGAACAGTTACAAGCGAGATCAGAAGCTTGATCTATGTGATCATCATGAGCAACATGACCATTACCATCTCCATCGAGCTTCCTTGAGATTACAATGGAGTTGATAACTTCATCGGTCGGGTGATAAACAGATAAAACTTGGAAACCTTGGAGATCACAAGGTTCAACGATAGGATAGAGAAAAGCTCTTGGTCCATGAGCACTTCTCAACATGAGCAAAGCACCAGGAGACATGTGTTTCTCAAGATGCTCGATCACTTTAACCTTCTCTTTTTTATCCATCCCTACAAGAGCAGCCAAGAACACAACGTCGAAGCCCTTCAAGCTCTCGGTCACGTCCATTACATCAACGGTATGAAAGAACATACGTTGAGAGAGATCAGGATCAGACGAAACCAAACGAGCTGCAACCGAGTTTGCTGATGCATCAATGTCAAAGTTGTGAAAGATCGAGTCTTTGAGATGGAAAGAAGCAAGAACGACAGAAGTAAGAGGGAGAGGACCAGAGCCAATGAAAGCAACAGTCTTAGGAACAGATCCGTTAAGGTTTTGATCAAGGAGATCGAACTCAAGCTTGCTTAGTTTGAGATAGTTGTTGTAGTAAGGAAAAAGATCCAAATGGTGAAGTGGGTTGTCTTCAAAAGAAGTCAAGATTGAAGAGAAGTGATGCTCCAAGTAACCTTCAGCTTCACCACAGATTTTGATGAGGTTTGATCTCATCTCTTGGACGCTTTGGGACATCTTGGTGACGTCGATGTTAGGGTTTGGTGGTATGCATGTGGACACGAGCTGCTTGAAGAGAGTGTCGACATCTTCACAGGGCTTCAGAGTCTCGAGCTTTGAGATCTTGTCGTAAAGGTCGCAGATCGTGTTCACTAGCTGGTCGTCTTGGCAGTAACCCATGTCGACACTATGAGGTTTTTGCGAGAGAAAAAGAAAATGAAAAAGTTAAAAGAGTTTGTGGTTCTCAGGTGGAATGAAGTTTTTGGAGAGATGGTTTATTTATTAGCAAAATTTGTGGGATCCATATCATAAAATAATAAATATACTTTTTAAGTCTCTTTTAATTACAACATGGCATGGTAAAAATATTAAGTACTCCTTCGGTTTCTAATTAATCCAAATATTAGAAACACCATAAAAAGAACTACCCTCAAATAACACTAATTTCCATGATTAACATGGTTACAGTATTTTTAATTATTTGTTAACTTTTTTTAATGTTTGGTTTGACTATTTTACATTTAGCGTATAGTTTTAAATATATTTTTTGTTAAATAATGATGATAAATTTCAGTCTTAAAAAAAAATTGATTACTTTTTCTAAATTTTAATCAGAAAATAATATTTTTATAATTAAATTTTAATTCGTGTTCTAAGAAAATTTAAATTTTAATACTACTTTTGGGTTTAGGGGTAAATTAAGAAAACTAAAGTTAAAGTTATATTGGAATTATAGAGTGACACTTTTTGTGAAACAATTTTTTTCTTTCTAAAATGTTATTTTTTACGAAACGAAGGGAGTATTGATAATTCTGGATTGTTAGCAAGCTCTGAGCCCAATGTAGTATATAGTGGCATGTTAGAGTTTTGTGATTATGTATGGTGCGAATAAATATGATGTTTAAGACTCAAGAGTTTACCTAACTTGTGCTAACAATTTTAACCATGTAACATTATCGTCCTTTGAAAATTGGGTATAAACAAGAAAAAGACTAGGGTTTGACTACATACCCTTTTACCATAATCTGCTTTTTTTTGACAAAGTTTACTCTACTTTAAAGAGAAAAGGTAACTATTTAACAATTAACATTGCTTTATGGTTTTTATTTTTGAGCTATTCATTTTCACATTTTTTAATTTATATTACTTTTATTCCGTATCCGTCAAACCATAAAAGCATTTTCAACTTATTTTTCATTTTTTCTTCAAAATAGAATAACTCCTTTTTGTGCCCTTTAAACCCTAAAAGCAAATCTATTTTTTTATTTATCCATATTTTTTAAAACATATATAATAACTATAATTTGGAGTTGTATTTTTATCCATCTGTACTCTATTTTAAGTCAAAAACAGAGATTTAAAATTTTATTGTGAAATATAAATGGAAATCTCTAAATATTAAAAAAAATAGAAATCTTATTTTAGGGATAACAATGAATATACGTTGGAGCTAGAAATCTTAACATGGATTTTTTATTTTAAAGAAAGACAAATTATTAATAAAAAACTGTTTAAGTTTTTTAAATAGTATAGGAGATATATAAATAGTTTGAAATATTTTTTTCACTAAACCTTGAAATTAAATATCAATATTAGGATGGTCTCAATAATAAAAATCTCATGATAAGAAATTCTAGATGGAGATGCCCCTAACCTCAATTTGATAAAAAGTACATTCCTATTCTTTTTTTTTTTTTTTTCTTTTTAGTACATTCCATGTTCTCGCATGCCTATTTTATTAAATCGAATGTCATCATCGAAAAATGTGTGTCATATTGTCATATAATAGGATACCATGATATATTAGATAAAATTATGATTATTCCTCAATTAAAATCATACACTTAGGGTCCAAATAGTGACAACGTATTTAACTGTGCAGGATAAACAGTTTTAATATGCGGTACAGTTCAACTGCAGTATTTAGAGAAGATAAATATGCGGGATAAACGCGATTTGCGATGTTTTTGGACGCTAGGTAAATAATACTTATGATTTAAAAGCGTTTCATGCCTATATATGTTGGTTAATTTTGCAAATCTTTTTTTTTTCAATAAACACGAACAAAAAACATTTGGTTAAATGATAACATATACATACGTTATTGTGGTACTGGATAAAAACGCTCCACTTTGATGGTCACCATTCGTTGCCTTATTCTCATTTTATCTAAAAGTACACATCAAGAATTTTATTGCGGCTTAAAGACTCATCAAGAATTTGGGCAAGTGAGAAGCAAACAATATGGAAATACAAAAATACATTTTGATACCTTTAACTTATTATTAATTTTATATGGTATGATATATAAAATTATATATATAAATTAATTATATGTACTGTACACCAGGATTTTCTCCAATAATATTCTGCGGTTCCCAAGAATTGTAGGTCGGATCGATTTTAGTGGCTACATAATTGACCATACATTATCACTATTTTTCGTATCTATTTGCATATTCATATCTTATCAAAAAGTTAGAATGATTTACTTTTAATTGCATTTGAATGCGTCGTCAAAATTGATGTGTCATTACAAGGACTAAATGAGAGACTAAAGAGATCCATGGCGTATACAATTTCGAGTTTATGAACCAATATACAAGATTATAATCTGTTAACCATTACCAAAAAAAAAAGATTATAATCTGTTAACTAAAAAATAATTTAGCAATTGGTCGATAATTGGAGAAAAGTATATAAAAAGCGGACAAATTGATGGCTTTAAAATAATTGGTAAAAAGTATATCGTTTTGATTCGAAGTAACTAATCATAAAAACAGAAATTAATAAAATGTATTAATATATGGTATCATCATTTATCTCTTACCTTTATAAAAAATAAGAAAAATATTAGGTAAACAAAGATGTACGATCTTATATTGAAGTAAACAAAAATGGATTAAAATTATATTTAGTTATCCTGTTATTTTGAAAGGGGTAATCTAAGTAAAATTTTGTTTTGTTATTTAAACTATATACTAGTAAGAATTGCTAATCTAATTTATGATCAACTGTTATGTAACTCCATATGTTATTCTCCTCTTGTATATGTTTGAGAACAATATTGGAAATATTTATATTATTTAATTTTTTTATTTAAATATGTTAAATAAAATTTACTTTATTTTAACCGATTGTATAAGTTTTACTTTGGTAGTTGCTTATAATGAGAGGTGACCAAGTTGAGACTCTGCGACAGGATGTTGCCATCCTCACTGTTGTGCACATTCGACGGATCCAATTTAAAGATTTCCAATAACTTTCGTATATTTTACCAAATAATCATTTTTTAGTTATGTCAACTACTAAAATAATCATTAAAAAAATATGTTATAGTCCTGTAAAGTTCTGTCAACTGTATATGTATGTATACATTTTAGAAAATGGTTCAATATTTTGAGAGAGGAAATTTATTTATTTATATTCTTAAGTTTTTAGAATTGGAAGACCAAAAATAAAAAGTAAACAAAAAAAATTATACTCTTTCTGTTCTCATGGATGATATTTTAAATATAAAAGATGATTCAAGAACTATCCAACAAAAATGTATCAAAAACTAATTAAAGTTTCATGAAAATGGAAACACACATTAGTTTTTTTGTTCAATAAACATACATTAGTTTATTATAACATTTTTCAATATGATTTCAAGTTTTCAAGAAATTATTTTTAAAGGCAAAAGAAAATAAATAACATGTTATTTGTTTTTGTTTTTTTACAAATTTTATGTAGAGAGACACATATCTAAGCACATGATGTTAAGCATCCAATTGTGCTTCAAGAAGGGGCGACCAATTCGACATTACAATCCAAATTTGGAAGGTTAGTAGTATATAGGAAAAACTAATTGCTAAATAGTAAAAGAAAAGAGAAAACTAAATGTATATAATATGAAAATGGCCAAATTATACATTTTTTGCTGTTTATAAATAAAAAAGTTGAAACTCACTAAAATTCAACTACTTTTCCAAAAAAAAATTGAACTTTGGTTTAGATTGTGTTGTCTTTTTTTTAATAGAATTTTTGAGAAATACCCCTTTTGATGTACCCCTTTTTAAAAATACACCTCTTTTCTATTCATTTTCAAAAATACCCTTTTTCAAATATGAAAAATTATAAACTTTTATATGGTTGATAAGGTACATCAAGATCATCATTACTACTGGGAGACTAAATCCAAATATTTAGAAGGTTTTAAAAGGTTCGAAACGGCATTTATATGGTTTTTATAAGGTTTTTAAAAGGTTTACACAGTTTTTATAAGCTTTTTATATGATTTTTAAAAGGTATTTATACGGTACTTATGAAATATATATATATAAATTTACACACATGTAAAGATAGTTTGTGTCTATAAATATAAGTTTATACATATTTTTTTGATAAATTTCAATTTTTATTGTGACTTTTTGATAAAATTAGAAAGAGGGGTATTTTTAAAAAGTGGTATTGGAAAAGGGGTATTTTTGAAATTCCCCCTTTTTTTTTTCAAAAAGGTGATCCAATCAATGAAACTGATCGGCATTGTTTCACATTTAAATCTCCATTAGAACTGATATATATATTATTAATAAAGCAAAAATGTTACAAAACAGAACAATAAAGCAAAACATGAGTTTTTCTAAAAAGTGATAAATAATAGAAATGATAATAGAAAAAAATATTTAACTACTACGAGCACCTCTATTGTTTGCCTATAAACTCTATATTAGAGTTACTTTTACTCCAACCCACATCTATTCCTAATTCGAAACTTTCTACTTTTTGTTCTGTATATAGAGGAACTCTATTTCATTTGCAAAGTAGTCCTATAAATTTTCGTAATTTATTTATAAAAAGAAAAGCAAATTAATAATATATAAGAGAAGTTTAAATTATAATTTTGTTAGTTTTAAAATTATATAATTAGAAACTATTCTAATGTTAACTTTTTTGTTTTGCGGAACGATTCAATAAATTATAAAATTCTATAATTGTAACTACAAAATTGTTTACTATATTTTTTTTTAAAACGCAATTCATTTTTTAAATATTTTATAGCTACAATTATAGAATATTAGATATTATAAAATTATACTATTTATTTTAAAAGTATATTATTCTATAATGTTTTATATATTGGTTGATTAATTAATTATGAAGTAAAATATTCAAATAATTATTTTTGGTTGATTTTAGAGGTTTTGGTATCTCTGTTATAAAATTTGAGATTTATTTTTCAAAAGAGAATT